GTCATGCGCTAATATAGGCGGTGAAGCACTATACCAATCATCTCATGGGCCAATCACTGGTTCGCAGCAGCTTAAAGAAAAGAGTATTCATAAGTGTGTGGTGATAGATCATGATTATTGTGATGTGGTATTAAAGGTGTGCATGTAAGCGATGCTTGCAGGACTGAGCACCCTTGTCGGTAATCTCTCCAACAATGTAGTTTGTTGGGAGTCTATTTTATTTATTTTTTTGTTTGGTTTTCAGTTACTTTCAGGACAGCGTTTTCATCTTTAATCGGTTTAACATTACTTTCACCTAGCCTTTTTGTTCTCTTGTAGGGCTTAGAGACTTGTTTACAGTATTTGCACTTTATAAATCTACTTGATTATTAATGATTCTGGGGAGAAACCTTAACAGTCCAGATTTTTTTGTTATCAACAAATATATTGAACTACACTGTACAGTATATGAATTGACAGTAATGTCATCTAATACAGGCCCATGGCAAGTTAGTTTGTCGTAGGAATACATACTGATATGTATGCTCGCTTGTCATTTTTTTGAACAGTGTCATAATGTGACGTTGTTATGGATATTTCCATTGTGCAACTGGAGAGTGAATGTACACTTGTGAAACCATGAACACAAAGAAGTAAAAATTTCAATAATAATGGTAATTCTTTTATTATCAGATGTATACTTCGATACAGTACACCACATTAGACATTCACTGGAACGCTACACGTCGATTTAACAGGTAAAAGTGACAGGAGTTAGAAATCGCAAATGACTGACACGCTCTTGTAGGCGGGATACTTAATGATTAACAACTATAATATTGCTCATCCTCTGATTTTATTAACATTTATTTAATGGATGCTCTATTAATGTCACATGAGGCTTACGTCATGAATTGACTACATGGTTAGCCTACACCATAATCATGAGAAGGTATTTTTGTTTAATATTTTTTTTACGATGACGGATCATCGTCAATGAAAGTATTTACAATTGACAATTTTGCTCAACAATAACCTACACGGTTGTCAGCTACAGATAAATTTGCTCAGCAATCAAATAATATGTCCATTCAGTTCTATTAGTTTATAATCATTGTCAGATTGACAAAGATATGATTATTGAACACATCAACTTTGAGTTATTACATGAAGAAACACATCAACGTTCAATATTCAAGCCAGAATGTAATGTACACAGAATAATACAACTGATGGCCACCATTAATGAAGCGCCCTCTATAATCCATTAGGCACCCCCCCTATAATCTCTCATGAGCCCTCTATAATCATTTATGCGCAGGTGTTGACATGGTACATACCAGGGCACATTAGTGTTGCACCCTTTAGAACATCATGCACTATTCAACACCATCACAATCCAGGGTTATGAGGGAAGACCATCTTTCATTTGTATTTCATCAGTTAATCACAACTTTCTTTATAAATCAAACCTTAAATATATTTCCAGTCTCTGTTTTAAATATTTTTTCTCTTTACTCTTTACTAACCCACTTCCATTCCGACCAATTATTCCCAATATACATACTCATCCCATATGAGTCTCGTACTGTCTTAGAAAGCTGTCCCTTTCTACTTAAGAACAATACAGTATATCATACAAGTATAGTAACATTATTTCTCATATAATTTTAGATATTTTTAAATTCAAACCTGCCTCTATCATGAAAATAAATAAATTTTCTGTTGAAAGTATGTACAATTGTAACAAAACATTAAAGAATCAAGATTGATGCTATATAGAATAACCAAAAAATATATCTCTTAAAAATGAAAGTATAATTGCATTTACTGGCAGGGGAAATATTATGCATAGAAAATTAAAGTTATAAAAAAGGTTAGTTGTTTTAACCTATTTCATTAATATGGCTGGATTTTCCAGCATATATCATTGCCATTTCTAGCCTATAATTACAAGATCTTAGCTAGTATATTATTTCACATCTGCCTTCTATGCTAATATAAGGCCCATACAATTCAGGCCTATTTGGCATAACAGAATTAAATATGGTTTAAATACAAAAATATTAAATAACTAATGCATCCTGGAGGAAAAAAATATATCAATAATAAATAATACTGATTAAATTTCCAAACATAATATTAAAAATTAATAGTAAGCAAATTAAAACTACTAAGGCTTTTGACCTTAAATAAAAAAAAAATGTACTGTATCATAACACATTGTGACCTAAACCTAATACTATAGTACTTTTCGAAAAAGATACCTTCAACCACAATCAATTGAAATTAATAAAAGAATACTATAACCATGGTTATAACATAAACAATCTCTGTCAATTAACAAAAACAAAAAAACAAAAAACAATTTCTATTGTATTTTATCAAAAATAAATTAAGAAATCTCACTGTAACTCATCAATTTAGAGATTACGATGCTCAGCAAATAAAAAGTTTGTTAAATCACAGCAAATTATAAAAAAACACAAAGAAAAATATATTTCTAACACAATTTTTAACAATTCGTTATTAAGAATATGGAACAAGTTAATGTTGATAATAAACTATATAAAATGTTTTACATTATATATACATTTATATAGCCCAAGAGAAAGCACATAAATGAAGCACCTTTGTGTTTACATTCATTAATCAATCAGGCTTTATATATTTCATTATTTCATACATTGGCAAAAGGTTATTAAGTAACATTAATTAGCAAATATGTACACACCTGTTTACAGTAGTGAATCCTAAATATTATCAACACTAAATATGTATAATTCCTTGTTATAAACCAATTATTCCTCACTGTTTTTTCTGGCTGTCAGTCAGGCTTCCAGGCCAGGCAGCCTGACTGATAACCTGGCGAAACTGTCAACAACAAAAAACAATGAGTAATAATTGGTTTATCACAAGAAATTATACATATTTATTGCTATTTGAAACCAGATGAAACTATTTACCCATTATCAACACTACTATCACTAGAAGTTTAGTAAAAATAGCAAATTATTTAAAAATTTCAATATATTATTTCATTGTTTACTGTACAAAAAACTGTATTTTCTACACAATTCTGTTGTGCAAATCCACATTTTTAACTGACTTCTGTATTGCTGTAGCTAACTTGTCCACATTTCTCTTTAATATAAAATCAATTACGTTTTCAATATTCATGATTAATCTTCCTTTAGCGACATTGTCTATTACCATCAGTTGCAACAATGTTGTTCTGTCTTCTTTGAAAATTAGTCGTTCAATCCAAACAGAAAATTGCAACCAAAAAAAACCAAAACAAATTTACAATAATTTGCAGCAGTTATTATGCTTTTTTACTATCAACCCATGAGGGAACGTGGAGAAACTGACATTTATGTGACTGCTATTCATTTTAATTTGGTGATTCTAACAAATTAGATGCTAATGAAAATGATAGGGACAATATGGTAGTATTATGGATTATAATAATAAATTTAGCTTTATAACGGAAATATTAATAATGACAATGGGCTTTTCAGGCTGAAGAGGATTATATTGTGAAGCCGCTGATGACATTGTGATTCCATAATGAATTCATGTTGTTCATGATGACATACCACATCATTGGTATAAAATCATCATTGAAAGTGACATTAATCAATTCATGACATTGATATGCATAATGTATTTGATTGAAGACAATTTGTAGTGATAAAATAAAAGAATACACTAATAAATACTACTATTAACTTAACCTATAGAATAATTAAAGGAAGACAAATGTGCAGAAAGATGGCAAATCTGGAAATAACAAAACAGATTAAAAAACAAAGTATTAAAAACAGCCCTATTGGATTGCTCCTTTACATTAAGTACAATATCTACAGAAAACCTATAAACATTTGAGTCTACACTACTGTACAGATTTATTTTATACATTATCATTTGTCACAAAGGTGAGCTGAAAAATGCTACACACCTAGACCTCATAAAATTCTCACTGCTTGCTTACTGAAGATGTTCACCAAAGGCTTGTCTCTCTATCAAGATCGAAAACTATCTTTAAGTTTTGTTGAATGCTCATACAACAGCATAAGTCTTGTTAAAGCTCATAAAATTCTTTTTAAGTCTTTCTTTCTATAAGCTCATCAAATACTAATACAGTAGTCTTGCAATAAGCTCATTTAATAGTAACAAGTGTTGCTATAATGCTGAAGTCTTGCTATTGTACCACATCTGCGCTCACCTAATTACATTGCAGGTCTTGCAAAAAGCTCATCCTCAAGTCTTGATAAATAGCTCATTTTGGCTCATCAAATAGCATCAAGACTTGCTATTTGATCTCTTTAGGCCCATAACCAGGATCATTCAGGGATTCCTATTAAATCAGGATCAGTAGGCAACTAAGTTCCCTGGATGTGTCAGGAAAAGAGCTGTTTTAAGTATGTAAATGTGAATTTATCACAAAAAGGTTTTGACTGAACCATACAACACCCCTCAACTTCCTGGTTATGGGTCTGCTAATCCACCAAGATTTCCTATTAGCTCATCTTGGCAGAACTACCTAGAGTAGTATCAAGTCTTGCTATAAGCTCATCTAACAGCAAGTTTGTCTGGGCTTATCTAAGGGCATTCAGTCTTTCAAAAAGCTCATTAATAGCATTAAAGTCTTCTTAAAAGATCATCCAGTAGCACTAATTCTTGCTGTTAGTTCATCTAATGACATCAGGTCTTCCTTAAAATCTAATCAAATAGCATTGCGTCTTCTCAAAAGCTCATCCAGTAGCACCAAGTCTAATACCTCATCTAATTACATCAAGTCTTCATACAGGTAGAAGTCCATTTGGCTCATCTGTGTAATGGCATCAAGTTTTGCTATGCTCATTTAACAGCATCAAAATCAAGTATTGTTGTTAAAGGCATCAGTCTTGCTCTTCAGCTTGTCTCATCTTGAGTCATGTACTCATTAACATAAATTCTTGATATTTAGCTCACACAACTATGATCATATCTTCTGTAGCTCATCAAGTCAACTATCTCAGCTCTTTTTGGCTCATACAGTGACATATAGTGTTGCTAGTAGCTCATAAGTTGGCTTAAGATTAATGGTCTATGTAAGACTTATACTAGAGTACTAAATCAGGCTCTAATTTATCTATACAGTTCTATAAGATATTGGGTGGCACTAGGCTTTTATCTGAAGAGTTACTTAAAGAAACCATGCAGAAACATCAGAGCTGCAGCATAATTATTAGAGCCATTAAGTATGTCTGACCAAGCCTGCTGGCAGGTCAAATAGCTAAATAATACTATGGCTCGACAGTCACTATTGCTATTCTTCTTTTAAAAAAAATGTCATTATTATACTTAAACTTTACATAAATGCATTATTTCTCATTGCTTCGTCATCATAATAATTTCAAAATGCGAGTCTTCAAGCTGGTGTAGAATCATAAGAAGAAGAATCATACAAATAAAGTCAGAAATACAGTTTAAGTCGTGGCATATGCAATGTACAAGAAAATGACAACTGTACACAATAAGCCAATTTTAAGCTAGGCACACACTGAGCCTACGCCGGTTGGCTCATGTGATTCCATGATCAATGCTGTGTGCCTTGCTTTAAAGAACAGGCAATAAGCAATGGTTTGACTCATTTCAGGGTATAGAAAATGGCATATCTAAGGTGTAAAATCTGGGAGAAAGACTACTGAATATAATATAGGCTTATGCCTCATTGATGGGGCTATACTGTATATACTATGTTGTTAAGAGCTACGCTCTACTATTTAGGTATTTTATTACATTAATTAGTTTCGTATTTTAGTTTAATTCATTGAGCAATCGAAGGTTCAGAACACAAACCAAAACGGCTTCAAATTTTGTATACACACGTTACACATGCATGACTGCACGCAGTGAATATCTACTAAATTCACTAGCAACAGTCAGAACATAATTATAATAGAATGTAACAAAAATTTTCAAATGTAGTTCAAATTGTGTAGAAAATAAGATAGTTTAATTAAATCAGTGAATATACTTGCAGTTTTAGAACTGACAACTTTTTCTTTAAAAAATGACTATGGAAACACCTCACATATATATGGATTTTTGGTAGTCAATTTTTTATCATACACTATTATATTTCAATATGAACTTTTTGAGCATATGGTAGTGATCCATTGTAAAACTGGTTGTTAAATGAGCATTTTCCTTTTGGTTACAATGTGATTTGTTTAGCGAAGCACTGGTTACAAGAGGATGTTCAGTCCAGCTGATCAAACAGATATAACTAGGTACTGCCACTAAATATCAACAACCCTAATTTATAAAATTGATACCAAAGATAAAATATAACTGAATACTTGAAATTAACTAATTTGCATATTAGATATATCACCTGTACCAATATCGGACACCTGCACTCTTGACCCAGGATACTTCAGGGCTGGGCATGACACTCTCGACATCTGTCATGCTGGAGGTTGACTTGAAACTACTGGGACTCAGAGAGCTAAGTGTCATTCTGGCAGTGCTAGGACTTGTTGGTGATTGGCTAGAATTCTGCGATGAGCTTCGACTGACACGAGACGGGTTTGATGCTACAGATGAACTGCGACTGAAGCCACATAGACATTTCGGTCCTGATGGTAATGATCGGGTAAGAAGTTTCCTCAAAGAATCGTAGTGACGCTTATGGCCATTTTCCAGACAACACTCTTCTAACAAGTTGTTGTTGTTCCTGCTGCTCGGCTGCATGTCTGAAAAGAAGAATCAAACAAGATTACTGAAAGCTGTCAATAAAAACATTTCTTTCATGACCAGCTCTGGCAAAACCCTAAATTTTCACTATTTAAAATTTCTCGCTGGCAACAAAAATGTCCAGAAATTGATACTGTATTTAATTTAGGAACATTTGATACTTATTAAGATGATATCCAACTAATTAAATATTCATAACTTCGCTAAACCCCAATCAATCTTACATACCAAATGAAATTTTGAATTTGATTGACAAATGTAAAGTCTTGCTTGAGTTGGACACATTGTAAATGTTAACTACTATGAAAGACCTACAATATAATTTTATTTTCATCAGTGTATCATTTCTTTTAAAAATTTACTTTCAATAATAACTACTGACAATTATGCCATTACATTGGTACTGGATTTATAAGGTTATAATAGTGAATATATCTTGAGCACAATTCTGAATTACTTTGTAGTAAAGTTAGCTATTGGATTCGACTTATTATTTCAACGTCTAAATATGTTTTTTTCTTCCCCTAATTTCATATAACAAGAAGTAATCTTGCAAATTACTGAATGGATTTTATGCTCTATTAACCATAACAGTGGAGTGGTTTATACAATATAATAATTTGAAGACTATGAAATTGGAAATACAAAATTGTTCCCCCAAGCTATAGTCCCACTCTTGATATCCAGTGGAAAATATTGAGTATCAACCAATTAAACAAGTTGATTTAAAAATTGATTAATAGCCGACTCTATTTTTACCAACGGCAGGTTTTAAGCATTTCAACTTAAAATGTAACTTCTATATAAATATATGATGTATCAACAATTACCTACAGCGGAATCAAGGTCAAAGCTAATAAAAGAAAAAAAATGGCTTATAAAAACAGAATTACACTACTTCATGCAAATATAAAATGGCTGAAACTACTTACAAACAACTTGGTTTCAATCATATAAAACATAAGAAGCTTTGGGTGGAATAAAACAACGTAGAGGACACCAAAAAATACATGCAAAAAGGAAGTAAATGGTGCTTGTGATTACACCAAAATAAATCAAAATCCTGCAAGGTCATTGTGAGTCTGAAAATTAAATTTGAGAAGCATAAACAAATTTACTACAACAATCAATGTATATTAATTAAAAGATTTTACACTGGATTATGCAATATCTGAATAAGGAATGTACGAATGGATGGATGTATTAAAGAATATGATATATGAATAAATAAATGGATATATGAATGAATGTTTAATTGATTGAATGAATACATGATTGTGTGAATCATGAATAATTAAATAAATGAATGAATGAATAAATGAATGAATGAATGAATGGATATATGAATGAATGACTGAATGAATACATGATTGAGTGAAAGAATGAATGAATAATTGAATGATAGAATGAATGATTGAATAAATTAATAAATGAATGATTTTGTGAATGAATGAATGAATGATTTAATGAATGAATGAATAAATGAATGAATGAATAAATGAATGAATGGATATATGAATGAACGATTGAATGAATGAATAAATGAATGATTGAGTAAATGAATGAATGAATGATTTAATGAATGAATGATTGAATAAATGAATGATTGAGTGAGTGAATCAATGAATGAATGCTTGAGTAAATGAATGAATGAATAAATGAATGATTAAATGAATGATTGAATGAATTGATGAAAGATTGAATAACTGAATGATTGAATGAATGAACAAATGATTGAATAAATGAATGATTGAGTAAATGAATGAATGATTTAATGAATGAATGATAGAATGAATGAATGATTGTGTAAATTAATGAATGAATGAATAACTGAATGAACGAATGATTGAACGAATGAATGAAAGATTGAATAACTGAATGATTGAATGAATGAATGATTGAATAAATGAATGATTGAGTGAATGAATGAATAATTAAATGAATGAATGACTGGACAAGTGAATGAATGAATAAACGTTCAGTACCTGGTAATTGTGTTGCCATATAGATACACTGTATGTAACATGTCATATATTATGTGAATATAGCGAACAAATAAAATACTCAAATTCACGCAAAAATCAATATTAAGCTATTATAAACTGGACAATAGAGTAAATGACACTGTACTAATATGTACGTCTATCTTAAAGAGTGGATCACTGTATATAGTAATATAAAATTTAAATTGAAATGTGAAACAGAGTAATACATAATAATGTGCTACAAATTCACTAAAAATATGAAGAATAATTAGTTGAAATTAATTAAAAGCTTGTAAACTGGAATAGAACAGTGTGATGTATAAAGGCATATGCAAGTATTTATAAAATAATTAATATAATAGTTGACTACATGTCTGTATGTGTCTTGTCTTTATCTAATCAATTTAGCAGGATTTTACTTTTTCGATTCCAGGACATCTATATGTCTATAAATATTCTTTGTTGTTATTTCTTTACGTTGTTTTGGGAAGTTTTTAATTCTTATAAAAAACTCTTCATTCATTTTGTAACTGTTATATATCCTGTATCTTGGTTGATTTCATTTTGTTGTTAAACATAGACTATTATTAATTTCATGGGATGTCATATAATAGAAGAGTAAATTCTAAGAATCCCTGGTAAGACAGTTTATTTCTCTTTGATTCCATATGTAATATTTGGTATAAAATGTATACACTTAATTCATTTACATTTAATGTGTATACAGTATACTGTATAAGTTGACTATTGTTAATTTCATGGGATGTCATATAATAGAGGAGTAAATTCTAAGAATTCCTGGTGAGGCAGTGTATATCTCTTTGATTCCACATATGGAATATTTGGTATAAATAATAATAATTCTGGATTTATATAGCGCCTCCCGTTGACACAACCTCGAAGCGCTTGAACATTATTACCCCTGGATCAAGCACATATGGAACACACACTCAAGCCCCATAGGGGAATTCCATAATGTTGCAGCTGTATTCAGCGCAGGCTGTGTTTGAACCTACCAGGTACCCGCTTGTACTCCTGGGTGGAGAGAGACAACCGTAGATAAAGTGCCTTGCCCAAGGACACAAGCGACTTGCACAGCGAGAGTTTTGAACCCCCGACCTCCAGGTTGGGAGTCCAAACCACAACCGATGCGCCAACCACTTCTATAAAATGTATATACTTAATTCATTTACATTTAATGTGTATATACTGTAGAAGTTGACTAAAATATTATTAATTTCATGGGATGTCACATAATAAAGGAGTAATTTTTAAGAATCCCTGGTAAGGCCGTGTATTTCTCTTTGATTTCATATATGGAATATCTGGTATAAAATGTATACAATAAAATTCACTTACATTTAATGTGTACATACTGTATTTAAATGTGTGTTTGTATGTACATGTCTATGCAATTGACTTATTATTATACAGCAGATATATACTGTCTGCAAGGAAATGTGTGCATACTGTATGTGTCAATATATAATAAACTTGACATGCTTCTGGTTTAATACTTATAAATGAAATAACACAGCTTTCATTTCCGAAATTGTTATCTTGTGGACACAAATATTCATCACAAAAAATAAGAAAAACAATTACTTGAATTTAAATCAACTGAGAAAATGAAATGCCATAGAGCAGGAGTTATACCAAAAAGCGAGAGTTACAAAAAGCACACAATTCAAGAGTCTTAACATCATTAAAATACCGAAAAAAACAATGCTAGAAATCTGATGGGACTTAGTAAAATATAAATGGGATTTAAACTGACAAGATTGGAAGATTTCATGCAAAAACAGTAAAACTCATCATATTTAGTTTAGATTTTGATATGTACTGGATGTTTGGCGTAAGTACAATTAATGAATGAATATAGCGTTCACCCTATTTACGTTGGTGAAGCTTTAATATCATTAATCTATCCGGTTGGAAATTTGAGCTAGGCCTTGCAAATGTCAAGACATAACAATTAATATTCATTGCCTGTAGCCATTGAGGACCTTTGTAGGAGATGCAGCGATACACATGATTTGGTGAGAAGGCAAGTGGTGTTTGATAAATCAACATAACACTCTGATAGGACAAAAAAAAATAAATAAAAATAGAAAGAGAGAACAGCACAATTTGATTGGTGGTACACTGCCATTTGATGTGGACTGCATAAATGGATAGATGGGATATCCCAACACAACATAGATTACATATATATGTGGTGATCAGCAAAAATGGATGAATAAGGATGTAGGCAATGAGTTGATTTGCATAAATGGAATGCACATAATGTTTTATTATTATGTACTTATACCATTATTTTATACGAAATTTCTACTGGATGAAACATACCATAATATTGTCGCGGTAATGTATTAAGTACCCACTTATGTTTGAGGGTGGAGGGACAACCCTGAGGTAAAGTGCCTTGCACAAGGACACAAGTGAAATTCATAGCAAAGGTTTGAGCCTCCACAAGGTTGTATGCCAGAATCACAACTGTTATATTAATCGATCTTACAATATTTCCACACGGTCAACCGCATACATGGAAGGGGGATACGGCCAGCGTTGGTGGACTGCACACAAAAGAGTGGGGATGCAACGCATGATGTAAAATGTACTACTGGTAATGGATATGTGTGGAATGCCCCGCATGGGTAAACTACATTTAGATAGGTGGGTAATCCTCCCATATGGGTGAACTGTATAAATAAAGGTATTACATGTGTATGCACTGCATGTATGAACTGCATTAACAGATATGCGAAAATATTCAGCTTGACATGAGTTGCATAAATAGACAATGTAACTGCAAAAAAAAAAAAAAAAAATACTAGAAGAGGATGTCCTGTATAGGAACACCTCTTGAAACAATAATAGCACTGATAGCATAAAAAATGGAGAGGTGTTCACAATGACAGCGTTGAGGGTTGATTTATTTTGGTGTACCACTCACTCATGTGTATCCACCTGGTTAAATCTTCTATGTCAATCAATTTGGAATCTTGCTCATTCTTTAGTTCATCCCTTGCTATTAATAACTCCACCAGCTCTTCATTCCAATCTTTATGAAATATATAGAGAAAAAGAAAGAAAATCAGTAAAAATAATTTTATTTCAGTAAAGTTACTCCTTAGAATGCTTGTATGTACATTTGGAATACAAACGTACATATAAATTTAGATTTTATCGGATTTTGACCGGATTACCATCTCTATGTACTTATACCATTATTTTATACGAAATTTCTACTGGATGAAACATACCATAATATTGCCATGGTAATATATTAAGTACCCACTTATGTTTGAGGGTGGAGGGACAACCCTGAGGTAAAATGCCTTGCACAAGGACACAAGTGAAATTCATAGCAAAGGTTTGAGCCTCCACAAGGTTGTATGCCAGAATCACAACTGTTATATTAATCGATCTTACAATATTTCCACACGGTCAACCGCATACATGGAAGGGGGATACGGCCAGCGTTGGTGGACTGCACACAAAAGAGTGGGGATGCAACGCATGATGTAAAATGTACTACTGGTAATGGATATGTGTGGAATGCCCCGCATGGGTAAACTACATTTAGATAGGTGGGTAATCCTCCCATATGGGTGAACTGTATAAATAAAGGTATTACATGTGTATGCACTGCATGTATGAACTGCATTAACAGATATGCGAAAATATTCAGCTTGACATGAGTTGCATAAATAGACAATGTAACTGCAAAAAAAAAAAAAAAAAATACTAGAAGAGGATGTCCTGTATAGGAACACCTCTTGAAACAATAATAGCACTGATAGCATAAAAAATGGAGAGGTGTTCACAATGACAGCGTTGAGGGTTGATTTATTTTGGTGTACCACTCACTCATGTGTATCCACCTGGTTAAATCTTCTATGTCAATCAATTTGGAATCTTGCTCATTCTTTAGTTCATCCCTTGCTATTAATAACTCCACCAGCTCTTCATTCCAATCTTTATGAAATTAATATAGAGAAAAAGAAAGAAAATCAGTAAAAATAATTTTATTTCAGTAAAGTTACTCCTTAGAATGCTTGTATGTACATTTGGAATACAAACATACACATAAAAAGTTAGATTTTATCGGATTTTGACCGGATTACCAAAGTGAACCAGCTAGTGAGAAATATTCATTTAGTATATTTATGATTATCTTCTCATACTGTAAAATATGTAAAAATAGTATTATAAATATCTGTTAAATAAATTAAATATGATTAGAAATACTAAACATCATTGACTGTATGAAAAGAGTGCACCTTGTATTAAAGCAGAAACAAAACAGACACAATGGCCTCTTGTGGACATAACTGTCTACTACAGTTATGCAGTGTTTTTTTTCTCCCTAGCTTTGCGCATAGACGTCCATTAGAAAATGTAAATAGAATAAAGTACACTGGCCGCAAAGAGCAAAACAGGTTCAATGTATTCAATTCAATCTCTACATTACTGCTGTTTCCAAGGCAATATTGCTTTACATAGAAATATCTTGACTGTGGCTGTCAGTATAAAAGCAGAATGATAGTTGAAATACAGTACAACCCATCCTTTGGGACACACCTATTAAGGGGACATTTCGGCCACTAAACAAGGGAAAGTAGTCTTTTAACACTACAGAAACCCTATTCGGGGGACCATTTTTTTTTTGGTTCTGAAGGTGTCTCCTTAATGGTGGTTTCTATTGTAGTTGTATTTCAGACATCCAACAACACTTCTAGAAAATTCTGATATTGAAGACCCTAGATCTCCATCAGAAAAGGCAATTATTCCAATGGGATCACACTGCTTTAAAAAAAACATTTTACAGTCTCAGAATGCCATTTCCAAGCATCCAGAGGTGGCCATTCTGAAGTAAATTTGGATTCCTGTTGTGGTCCTGGACATCTGGTCAGGGACCTTGGACCCCTTCTATGAACTTTCACACGGCTTTGGGGAATTTTTTGTGCCGCTAGAGTTGAAAGTAGACTACCACAGAAATATTTCTCATTTTATTATTTGTACATTATTTGTGGAAGTTATAAGTGGAAGTGAGAAAATATGCCTTTTTTACTATGCCTTGAACAGGCCTCAAGAATTCCTTGTGACCACTAGTCAAAAGCATTGTGTATTTTCTCGGTGTAGCACTTAAACAAGTTTAAACAAAATTAGTACAATAAAAATGTTAAGATTTGTTCATGTGTACTGAAAAGGTATAATTATATATATTTATAAATTATGGTAGAGTTTATAAACCTAATTTAGTTTTTTTTGCTTTTTAAGTTCCAAATAAGGGATTTTTTAATCTGTTTTTTCCATTGTTTAGTATGCACTGTTTCTTATTTTCTGATTTTGTATCTGTATTACAAAATGAAAATTTTTTTTTTAAAGCGAATAATTCTTCAAACGGCATAAAGTGCTGCTTAAAATAGGGGTTTTTTTATGCTCATGATATCAATGATGATAGTAGAAAAAGCAATGTCTCAATGGGTGTGTTTCTACTGACAAACACAAAATAATTGATTTTTTTAAACTGCTTTTTTAATGAGTACCAGACAGCCTGCTCGCGTTGCAACTACATTTTTGATTTTTCGAAAATCGGTTTTCGTGACAGAAATTACGTCACCATTTTTTACAACACATTGTTTTCCTAACTGTATAGGATAGTATCTTTCTCATTCCTGTCATGATGACGAGGAGTAAGATACGGTGTGGGGCGGTAGGCAAATGTTTTCAGCTGTGCTCATCGGCACAATGAACGAGCGACCAAACAAGGACAACGGTAGGCCCAAAAGAGCGGAGAGGCCTAGGCCCCCCACCACCACAAAATAATTACAAAACGAATTCGTCACTCCTCATGTTTGTTGACGTTTTTAGCTTGTAGGCCTAGGACATGAACAAGAGGACAAATTTTTTTGAAAGTTCGCGCCTAATATAAGATCTAGTCTTTGCAGTGACTGACCTGGAGGTCACATTTCACATGATAATTGCTTTTTTTGTGTTGCAGCTAAAAGATGCACAGCCAAAATCGGTTATTTGCCGTTCAAACACGTTATCCATTGCGTGTTTTTAATCGATTTTTAAAAATCTTTTTTCAAACTGGTCCCGTTTCTACAGCGATAATAAAAGCGATTTTTCGAAAAAGCGATTTTTAATCGATTATTTCTTTCTAGTAGAAACAGGCCCAATGATTACTGAATATTTCTACTGTAGATTCTATCTCATCCTAGGAGGGACCATATCAACATGTTTTCTGCATAAAGTATTCTGAGAAGGTCCCTTAACATAAATATTTAATATTCTGTGCAGCTGAATTGCAGATACTGTATGTAGCGAGAAGATAGTCACAGAGGAATTAATAGTATCTTTTAAATCAGAATTTGATTTATGGATCTTAACAAACAAATCACTGCAAATTAAATAATTAATGAGAATAAATTAGAAAACATTAAAATGAAGAATGGAAAATCAATAAAAAGAAATTAAAACAAGTGAATGAACAACAGGTAGATATATATGAATGGATGGCAAATTTTTGTCAGAAATGCATAAGTGGTTCAATGTAAAAAAAAAATAAATATTCGGAAACATATAGTTTGATTGAATTAGTAGAATAATGAAGAGGATGAGATAATGGATTTTATATTAAAAGCTAATAGTAAGTAAAAGATAAATTGAAAAAAAAAATGTTTAATGATTGAAGAAATAGTGAAATGAAGTAACAGTTAACAAAGTGCAATAAATATTATAGTAAGTGGTGCAGCAATAATATTCTTGGTAGTGTTCTGATGCTCTTTTAAGACTTCAACATTAAAAAACAATTAGTTTCATTTTATTATTGGGGGACATTTTGACATACCTGTCATTCGGGGCAATATTTACCAGTGCCAGTTTTTGGGGACATTTTTACCATGGCAATTTTTTCAGGCCATTTTTTTTCAGGGGCCATTTTTCCAGTTCCATTTTTCAGTAACTTCTTTAAAGAGTCAAGCCATAATTGGCAATACAGTAGGTGTTCTCAAGGCAATATGGTACAGTACTTCTAACACTTCCAAAGCAATTCTTTGCTAAACCCTACCATATCTACTGTACTGCTATGTTTGTGGTTGGGACTTCTATAGGTAAAGAATTATCAATAATAGCCCTATGTATCAACCAAAGAAAACATTAGTAGTAACCAGCAAAGGCAATAGTTAACTGTTTTTTTCCAAATACATACAAAGGAAGCTCCACAGTAAATTGCAACAAGACTTAATGTGAGAGAATTGTGTTATTTGCCCATAAGCATGATGATGGAATTGTGTGTAAGTGTTGTTGAGGGACGACATAAAATGTTTGTTACCTTTGATTCTCCGGTGGAGGTCATTGACAAGTATTTTCAGTTTACTGCATGACATAGCATGAAGCTTTTTCTTGCTCAGTGCCTTCCCAGTCAAGCCAGGCGAGATATCACACATCCCTTTCACGCCAGCCTACAAAAACAAAAAACAAAAGTTCACACATTTTGCATTATCATTATTGTTCATCAGGATTGCGTACTAATAATTAACAATAATACTATAAATAGTATAAATAATATTATACAGTTGGAATTACAATATACAGTAATATTAATAAGCAATTAGTAGAGCTCTGCATAGTACGCTATAGGAAAATTATTATACGAAGGTTAGATTTAATGCTTGAACAAATTTTTGAATGCATTAAATCTAACCTAAGTATAATAATTTTCCATTTAGTGTACGATGCATGCTCTACTAATTGCTTTATAAGTCAATCGCCGTCTTTTAATTTTATTTTTTTATAACAAACTGTTGTAGCAGTCATCAGTTCCTATAGTGATATGATGAGTATACGTGTGCGTATTTACATTTAGCTGTGCGTATGCTGATTTTTGCTCCTGCAATAGGCGTTTAATTAACTACACATCAGCAGTACACTACAGATACGATGAATAACATTGTGTTAGAAAGAACTTGTTTGTAATGCTATTTTGATAGACTTTCGTTAAAAAAATAAACATTTCAGCATTCGAGAGAGAATACAGTCACTGACGTCCTTTTTGGTCGGTGCATGCAGACAGATAAAATCGTGCGATGATTTCGTAACTAGGCTAGGCTACGGCCTAGTAGTAGTAGTAGTAGTAGGAGGAGGCCCGGGCGGTCTCCTGCCTGGCCGTAGGCCTACATCTAAATTTGTTCCTTGCTCGAGTCTTTAAGATAGGTCTAGGATATTCCTATTAAACGTTCCGTTTGTTGTGTTTATGAGGGTCCATTGATTTTAATGAATTCCTTAATTGTTCATACTTAATATTGAATTTGAAGTAACTTTCTTCGGGTTCTAATTAAGCTTGTTTTACGAAAGTAATTTTCAATTACAATTCAATTTTTATCGATGCGCAATGTATTGGCGGTGATGAAAAAATGAGGAATTTTTTTTGTACACGACTTAAAATAACAATTATAGTTACAACAATAATATAACAATTATATAATATAAACAACAAATTTAATAACAATATCAACAATACAACCTTAACAACCTACTATTAATAACCTAACAATATTAATAACAATAATATTGTTAGAAATATTAATGTAATTAATGTTGTATAGTTAATATTGTACTGAATATAACTTTTATTATATTATTAATAATTACAATAACAATACTCAACATAAAAACAATAATAATAAAATGTAACAAAAAGAACAATACTAGTGATATGGATAATAATGATGATAATCATCATCATGATGAAAACATCCCCAGCAACAATAACAAAGATAAAAAAAAATATTATAGTAGAGTAACAACATTAATAATGTACAATACATAAGAAAAACATTGAAGTATTTTGTATGGAATAATGTCTAAATAAAGAGAGCTCTTTAGGGTATTTCAAAGGTATTGTTCACATGGCGTACTACTAGATAAATAGTCATAATGTTATCTTGAATATAAAGGTCTGATATACATTGCACTCGCAACCAGTATTAAATATAGATGTTGATATAACCAGACAACTTGAATGCTAGTGAGCTTGAATATAAAGATTCTCATCAACTGACCTGACATTATCACAAACGTGCATATCTACTGAAGCTATTATAGAAATGAATATATTAAAGAATACCAAGTGCAATTATTTAGCTTGTGTTAGGCTTTTATAGGAAGCTGTTGAGGAGGGGTTCTATTGTACATGGAGAGGTTCCAATTAAGGGGTTGAATGGAATGAGCGTAATTAATTATCTTGTGTTAGGCTATTATAGGAGGCTGTTGTGAAGGGGTTCTATTGTACAAGGAGGCTCCCATTAAGGGGTTAAATGGAATGAGCATAATTATTTATCTAGTGCTAGGCTTTTATAGGAAGGAGGCTGCTGAGGAGGGGTTCTACTGTACATGGAATGAGTGTAACTATTTATCTTATAGGCATTTATGGAGGCTGTTGTTGGGGGAGGGGGGATTCTATTGTACATGGACAGGTTCCTATTAAGGGGTTAAATGGAATGAGCGTAATTACTTACCATGTGTTAGGCATTTATATGAGGCTGTTGAGGAGGGGTTATATTGTACATTGAGAGATTCCCATTAAGGGGTTGAATGGAATGAGTGTAATTACTTATCTTGTATTACGCTTTTATAGGAGGCTGCTGTGGGGAGGGGGAATTCTATTGTACATGGAGGAATTCCCATTAACTGGTTAAATGGAATGAGCGTAATTATTTATCTTGTTTTAGGTATTTATAGGAGGCAGTTGAGGAGGGGTTCTATTGCACATGGAGAGGTTCCCATTAAGGGGTTGAATGGAATGAGCATAATTATTTATCTTGTGTAGGCTATTATAGGAGGCTGTTGTGAAGGGGTTCTATTGTACAAGGAGGCTCCCATTAATGGGTTGAATGGAATGAGTGTAATTATTTATCTTGTGTTAGGATTTTATAGTAGGCTGCTGTGGGAAGGGGGCTCTATTGCACAATACATGGTGAAATTCCCATTAAGTGTTTAAATGGAGCATAATTATTTATCTTGTTTTAGGTATTTATAAGAGGCTGTTGAGGAAGGGTTCTATTGTACATGGATAGGTTCCCATTAAGAGGGTAAATGGAATGAGCATTATTACTTATCTTCGTGTTAGGCTTTTATAGGAAGCTGTTGTGGGGAGGGGTTCTATTGTACATGGTGATATTGCCATTAAGGGGTTATAAATGGCCTGAGTGTAATTATTTACCTTGTGTTAGGCATTTAGAGGAGGCTGTTCTGAAGGGGTTGTACATGGAGAAGAAGAGGTTAAAATCAAATAATGCTATAATCATTTATCTTGTGTCAGGCTTGCATGAAAGGCTGTATTGGAGAGTTTGTGTACAGAGAGGTTCCTCTTAAGGGGTTAAATGGAATGATTCTTTAGGGAAGGACTACTTCGAGGTATTCTAATGAAGAGGAGTTCATGAAGCGTACTACTGTAAATGATTTAAAGATTAATGAGTTTCTATATTGGGGCAATCTGGAGGGTTTCCAATTAATGGGTTTCTCTGGAGAAGTCCTATAGCAACTGAAGAGCTATTAGTCAATGTATTGTTTCTATTGAAGAAGTCCCTCTGAAGGATTCCTATACAGAGGTATTGAAGGGAGTTCAATAGGTGGGTTCCTAAGATGGCATATCTCTGGAAAGATCCTATATACAGTACTATATTTTTAAATTATTCAAGTGGTTTACTGGATGAGTTCATTTGGACGGGTTGCCTACCAATTCAGTAACAGGCGACACCTTCTTGCCGTGAACCTTTTCAATTTCCAGCTGCATCTTTGCCATGGGCTCAGCCTGTGCTAATGCTATCTTGGCCTCATTCTGTAGACGAGCTTGCCTAGTTTCAAAGTCTTCATCCACCTTTGTTACCGTGACACTTGGGCTCTGTCAAATAAGTAGAATGTTTGTAATGATAAAAAGTCTTCACTGATATGGTGAAATATTAGTACTAACAAAAACAAAAAACAAAAAACAACAAAAAACAAAAAAAAAAAAACAACCAAAAACCACATCATTGTTTCAAATGTGTATGATGCTAAAGATGTTCCTGATTTAGAAGTCTCATTATGTATGGTCTAATAACAAACAATCACCACAACATTCTTAATAATATTACTATTATGTCATATTCAAAATTACAGTATAATAATAATTTGATATTTATTGTTAAATTGTAATTCAAAAGGGTAAATCATCCACATTTTGTCAAACTATAAAAAATGCCTACTGTTGGTAGGCAATATTTGTTGACAGATTTGGTCGGCCCTACCATATTTAGCATATAACATGAAATAAATTCAACTTTTATACATAAAATAATGCATGTGTGTCAACAGTCTTTTTTCCCTTTTTATACATAAAATAATGCATGTGTGTCAACAGTCTTTTTTCCCATAAGCGTGGTATTAAGCTAAGTAATTTTTGACAGTAAATAAATTTGCATGCCGAGTTATTGCAAGAGTCATGCAATGGACCATTCAGCATAGCCTAAGGTCTCACAAAATGACAGCACGCACGCACACGCACGCACACACGCGCGCACACACACACACACATATATATTGAAAATGTAGAACTTGAAGAACTAGGTGTAATCACTCTACCGACTGCTTCATGCTAATGCAATCTTCAGGAGTGAGAGAATGCAAGGATTGTGTGAGTATATGAATGGTAAGGCAGGTGAAAATGCAAATGAGTTAATTCCTTGTATTCTCTCACTCCTGAAGATTGCATTAGCATGAAACAGTCTGTAGAGTGAATATACCCAGTTCTACAAGTTCTACATTTTCAATATTTACGCTCTGCATTATCACGTGTATCGAGCACTGTATGTTGCTAGTATTGGCAACTACATTTATTCATTATATATACAATATATATATATATATATAAAGCCATTTGTGAGACAAGTGTGTAGTCCTGTCCATGTTCTGATTAGAGAGTTGTCAAGTTTGATCGACTCTCTGAAATGGTCCATTGTGACACACTGTACCATATGTCTGGGTGTGGAAGACCTGTGTGTTAATAATCTAAAACTTTCTCAATACCTGTAGAGAGCGCATCATGGCAGCCTCATGCTGTACGTCCTCATCGTCGTCGCTCAGAGGATCGTTCATAAAGCAGATCTGTAGATTCATTCCACTCTGTAGTCGCGCGGACAATTTATCACGCCCCTTGCCGTAGATGTCTCCTTCTGCATCTTCTTCACTGAGCCCTGCTCTGGCTAGTCGTTTTAGGATCTCTTGACGGCAGCTTCTCTGTGCCTAAACGACAAACATTATAGTGTTTTTGTTCATTTATAACAAAAATGATACATAAAAGGTGGTCCATCAATCCAGAAGTTAGAGGGACTCTGAATGCAAAACAATAGCAAAATGGTATTTTAATCTGGTTATGAATGAATGGAGTACTCAAAGCCTAGCTTTTAAAATTTGTGACTTAAATAGCATAGTTACTGAGACTGAGTAATGTTCGTTCTAATGTTACTGAGACTCAAATGCTAAGAATTCCATTATTTTTCTCAATATTTCCAGTCCCATATGACTAAGCATAATGCTTGCTGTCGAATGAATAATATTTTGTAAAGGTAATTTAATATTTCAATATTTTGCAAAAAAATAATAAAACACAATAATATATTGTATCATGAGATGTGTGGAGTCTCATATTGTTCATCAGAATATCCAACCTTGATCCAATATCCTGTTTGATTTTGCCACACATGAATTAGATTGCAGCTTTTAAATGAACTATAAAGTTGGCCACTGTCCCAGCTGATCTTTCCTGTTTACATGTTAAGAACAATCACAAGCAGTACCTGTTTCATGTACCATTTTTTTCTCTCAATATTACTCTATTTACTTTGCAAATGTATGTTTAACAGATTTAAAGACAATGACATAGGCCATTCCAATGAGTTCTGAAGTCCATTGTCATGCCAGTCGAAGCTACAAAACCAACCGAAGGCAATACCTAAACATGCATGGCAAGATCCCCTAGGAACTTTATCTGGAAATTTGAAGGAATATGATATTTGGTCTGCCTGAGGGCTGAGACCCAAGCCACATGAACTGCAGGCCTCAAGATTGGCCAACCCATAACGATGAAAACAGAACAGGCTTAAGCCATGATAATAAGGCTTTTATATACTCTAGGTGACTTAATATTCCAGTTTGGTTAACTTGGCAATTAACTTGTTCATGCGTATCGTTCGGTTGCTTTTGTATATACAATTCAGGAAATGGTACATACTTCACACTTAGTTTTCACTTCCACAGAGCAAGGAAGGTTAGACTATTACACATACTCAGCAATAACACCCACGGATACATAGCCATGACACACTGTGCTAGTATCATGGAACTTTGAGAAAACTCCATGCTACTGTATTGCTATACTTTACTGTCCATTTTTAATCTCCATTAGGTCCTATGAACCTACAAACTATCTTGAAGACCCTACCTTGGGTTGGCACCCATAATTTTGAATACCAGGACTGAATGATACAATGGAAAGCTATGGTGACTGAAACAGATATGTAATCTTCTATTTCTAGAAGGCTGAATACATCTTCATGGTAAAATGGCACAATTTTCATTATACTGAAAGACAGGAGAAGGGGAAGGAAATGTTTTAACCTATTCTTAAAAAAAAATACACCAGTGTGGATACTCTACCGTTTTAGGACTCTTTGATGACTGTTCTTCTTCCTCTTGCTTTTCTAATTCCTTCGCTTTTTCTCCTTTTTTTCGTTCTATATTTGCAATTCTTTTTTCCAGTGTGTCCCAATCCATGATGGGCAATCCAGACGAATCAATATTATCTTTAGGTAACACTTGCCTATGGTCGCACGCAGCAGCAGTGATAGTAGCAGCAGCCAAATGTTTGCATGTAATGTCTATATCTTTGGCAATTTCTTCCTTGTTACTTGTCCTGTTGGGTTCAGTTTTTGTATTAATTTCAGTACTCATAGTTCTTTTATCTGTTAGTATTTCTAAATGTTTTTGACTACATGAACTTTGTAGCTCATTGATATGTGTTTCACTGGTATCAGAGTCATTTGCATTTGCATCAAGATCAGCAACATTTCCAGCATGGTCCTTCTGCAGTCCATTACAAACAGTAGTTGTAGTATCATGACTTTCATCAGCCTCGTTAAGGTCCTCGGTAACAGTAATATTATCTTGACTTTCATCAGCCTTGCTGAATTCCTCCTGTGCCTCCCAATCAGGAGTTGTCATACAGCTTGAGGGCGTTGCCCCATAATCACTTTCGCTTTCCGATTCATAAACACCATCGTCTGCAAATATCTTGCCCTCCAACTGGGCAAACTCCTCGGCTAAGCTTAGACGGTTCAAATTTGTATTCTTCTTGTCAAGGTCCTTAGGGCGTTTTAGGTAACTTTCGTTTTCATTATGTAAATCTGGACTGTGGTGTGTGAGACCCTGGATGATGTCTGGCTGATTGTCAGCCGACAGTTTCGTAAGCATTGACATCTTGTCACCTAATAAAAAGAAAAAGAAAGTATACACTAAACTCTACAGTGAACATACAAATATTGATTCAAAATATATTATGTCAGAAAAGAAGGAAAATCTAAATTAAAAACATCATTGCCATTAACATGATGATGAAGATGATAATCATAATCAGAATCACAATCACTCACCATTGCAATCACCTAAACTACAGTATTTCAATCACCACACCGCATTCACTATTGACATGATCATCACATCATCACTCATCATCATTAATTATGCATAATCCTCATAGAGTAGAGTATAAGGTTGTTATTGGCTTGATCAGAGAACTAAATATCTAAAACTGTTTTGAATAAATGTACAGAGTCCTTGGTGTGCTGTACATGATTTTGATAGGCAGGACAATGCACTATAGTGTCAGACTAGGCCCTTGCACACAGACATCTATAGTATATACTGTACAGTACATCAAACAGAGGCAGCGGCATCTGTTGATGACAGCACAAAAAATTATAACAGTTCAAATTCCTGTCACAGGTACTCGTACTTTAACACTCATTCCATTCCGTTCATAGCTGGTACTGTAGTATAACAATTTTGTAAATTTCAAAATTATTCATATAAAAGTTGTATTGATTCAGATTCAGATTTATTAAAACATATAAATAAATAATGACAATTTGTTTTCTTGAGTTGTAATACATACATAAAATTCATTAAAAGATAAGTACATAAAATCCATTAAAAACATTCACTCAACTATATAAAAAAGATTAGTGTAAAAAGAAATTACAAAGGTATTACATGTAACATCATAACACATAAAATGCATAAATATTAAAGTTATATAAAATGGACATGACAGAGTCCATTGTTTTTGAAAGATATTATTCTACATATTGTTATAAAAAGTGAACTTTATTTGTAATTAATAATAGATGTGTATAAGAGACATCAAATCCACTTTACTGGAGGAAAATTAAAATACTGTAAATTTGATTAAAGAATAAAAGACAATTAAGACTGTGAGGCAAAAATTGAGGGTACCCCAAACTCTTGCTTGAGATTCCATCATGTTTTTCTTATGCAGAGTAATGTGATTAGAACAATCAATTAAGTTGCTATTGTAAATTCTTTAATATATCATTTAATGTTGATTACAGAATATTTCATCAGGATATCATGGCAAAGGGAGGAGATGGGTGGAAGAATTAAACAAAAATAAAAAAGTATATTATAAATTTAATTTGAAATAACCATATCAATGGTTCATAAACAAAAGTATTATCACTATTAAAAAGTCCTGGCTAAAAATATTGTGATATGCCTATTAATACTGTAACTGTTATTTATTGTAGCTATAACTGTTGAACAAAACAGGTGCAGTATTACAAAACTGCATTTATATTTGATACAATTGTGTGTATGCACTTGTGTTTGCCATTAAAATACTTTAAATGTTTTTGCTATAGTTGAACTTTTATCTAATCTTATACAATATCCAGGAGACACTGTATTACCTCCTCCTAAACGAAGTACTCCGCATTATATAGCTGACATTTTGACTTGAACCTCATCCAAAGCAAGCAGCGTTAAAATCCTTTTAATGATATGATCCATTGCCTGTGAGAACGGCACTTAACGATTCGCCAATTAATCATGTCACTCATTTACTAGGCTGTGTAGCAATTTACACAACGTCCTGTAGCCTTTATTCGGGATATAGTTAAGCTGTATGGAACCCATCGTGTACTGTATAATTATATCAATACATCTAACATAATATCAGCAGGCATTACGGGTAGTAGTAGCAGCCTAGTTTATATTATTAAAACAACAGGGCTGCACTGGATGTATAAATATTACTTTGACTTTCTGACTGCTGGGCTTTACAGTAAATATATCGTTACACTGCAAAATGATATAGTAATTAATCATATGACTCCTTCATGTACAGTATCACAATGGAGAGGTATAAAAAATATACCTCAATGGTGTAACACAATAGGCCTATAATACATTCATCCATCACGTTATTGTTTATTTAACTAATCATTTCATCTTAAATGAGGGTGAAAATAATCAGTAAAAACAGTTTTCTTTTGGGCCCTCAAATATTGCCTCAAGTAAAGTTTTCTGAGTACATGGATCGAATATTATCAAGTTTGTGGATCTATCACACAACTCTGATTGATGATAGCATTCACTAACTGCATCACAGGTATTGTCTATCACATATACTGTAAACTACAGATCCTACAATATCACAGGGTTAATAATTTACTGTATTTTTTTTCTCCACAGAGAAGTGCAGGAGAAATCGTGGGTTTCAATGAACTTGGTAACTGTACGAAACGCAAGTCTGGAAAAAGTGATACAAGACATAATTGATACTAAATTTTGAACTTTATTTGTTCACCTTCTGACAACATTTCAAAAGTTAGAATCAAAGAAGGCCTGTATCACTTTCACAGATTATACAAAAAATGTACAGTACTGTAAAAATTCTTCCAATAAACAACTGCAAACACTGTAGAAAACTATACAGCCCTACAGTATGGCCCTTCTTATCAGGCCAGAACTTATGTAACTGGTAATTGGTTAGTTGGTCACCTGTGGGAATTCGTAGTTTATTTTAAGGTCAAGGTCTATTGTCTGATGAAAATAAAGTTGTAGCTTGAGGTAATTAATTCATCATTAAACACTGTAGATTAGCTTAGGATAACCTAAAGTAAACGTAATTACTATCGACAGGCTCTCCAAACAAAAACAAGATAACAAACATACATACAAAAATAGCAAGCTAAAATATAGACGAAGATAAAATACAGAATAACAAAATAATTCAAAAATGCAGTCAACACTCTTTTATTTTATTGGAAAGGTTATTTTATTGGAAAAGTCAAGTTTTTAAACTGATAGACTTACCACCATACATTATAAAAAAAAAACTCAATCATACAGTACTACTTTTGAAGACTTCTAAAACTACAATACAGGATTCCTGAAAAGACTAGCTAGGCCTGGCCGTTGATTCCCTATCACTTTTAAAGTGATGGACTTTCTGCGAGGCCTACAGTAGGCCTACAGTACATACACCTGGCTTCCTGTGGCTAGAGTGTGGCGGCTCACTTGAACTTTATAGCCACAGGGTAAGCCCTCCCATTTAATGTTTAAAGGGTAGGCTTAAACCAAAAGCAGGGGGCCACAAGTCGCTGGAGTGTGCTGGAAATTGGGACAGCCCCCTGCACTCCTGCAAACAAGCAAGAATTTCTCCCTCAAATTCTTAACATCTGCATGTTTTTACTAATTTATTATCAATAGAGACTTATAAAAGAATTACATTTTAATAAGACGTTACCTGAAAAATTGTGTGTTTGTTGATTGTTTGCAGGGTTTTTCTCCTCTACACTGTTCCCAACTGGTTTTGGATTTCCATTACCATCTAATTGATGACAAGTATTCTCATCATTATTGTCATCATCTTCATCTTTCTTGTAATTTTCCTTAAATTCTTTGTGATCTTGATGTTCTTTTTGTTGCTTTTGTAGTTGTTGTTGTTTCTTGTAATATCTCCAAGCTCTTTGAATTCTTTAAAAAAAACCCAAAAAACAGCATAATTTAGATTAATGATAAAGTATTGAAAAAAAATCAAAGGGTGAAATTAACATAATGTTAAAATTATATAACCGAAGACCGCAGATTATGTAAGTCTGACTCAGAATACCCACTGTAGACACTTCAAAGCTTGTAAATAAATCTGAACATGAACTATGAACTCATTCTCTCCAAAAAAGATAAATTATCTACAAAAAGTACCAAAGTGGTAATTTTTTGTGATGTGTAAACATTTTCATTCAGGATTCTTTCATTTGTTTACAATTTTAGCAAATGATGTGCAAAAATATCTGTTTTTGAGGCAACAAAAGTGGTGCCTATCCCCTTTAGAAACATTGACACTGCCTTCCACACTCTGACTTTTAAGCTGCCTGAACATTAATATATAGGGCATGTATCTAATACATGCTGAACATTAAGTGTTATACTGAGCATCAAGGCTCATGTTCAGCGTTAAGTCTTAGGCTGAACATGACGTCTCATGCTCAACCTTAAATCTTATGCTTGACATTAAGTGTTATGCTGAACGTAAGTCTCATGCTCAACAATAACTCTCATCATATTTAACAACATGACTATTAGGCAATACTTTCTTATTCTATTTGTAGATTTTTAAATAATACAAATCAGACACCATCTTTTGAGTTTCTCTTCGGTGCAGTACTGATTTTCACTAAGATTTGGTGTTTGTAGAATTTTCTTAATAGGTGTCAATTAAATGTATAACTGCGAAATAAGGATTTACAAAATCTATTTGAGTTGCGGTAACTGACCCATTACTTATATTTACCTCATTAAAGTTGGATTCAAAGAAATTGTGATTAAGTAACAACACGCATGGGATTTAATGGGTTACTTATAAAAATGGACTTTCTTTCCATTCAGAATAAAATCACACATGTTCTTGATATTAATATTTGATATTATGATGGGTTTATTTTGACAGCATTTCAGATGATGTGAAGATTCAGAAAATCAGCAATGAGCTGAGTATCCTGATACACTGCTTTCCATTAAATTATTAATGAACGCTTTATTGCTTGTCAATCAAAAACTATTACAAAATGGCTTCTTAGCATTAAGAATAAAATTTGATCATTCTCACATTGAACATTAAGGACATGCTACCGGTTGTGGAATACATTTTTTAAGAGTCAGATTTACAAGTAAAATCTTTATGATGTTCTTAATACTGTAATTCTACTATCCACATCATTTACCTTGGTTCATTGTAGGTTGATATTACTATACTCATGAATATATGCATATTTAATTACATAGCCAGTCATCAATATTCAGTATGGACAGTCTCTAGGGAGTATTGTATGGCTATACCATGTTCCTTATTTTGGGATATGAGGTACATGAATATTCCTGATTATGATACCACTGTTCTCCTGAAAGCTGGAATATATTTAATTTTAAAAGAGATGAGACTTTCAAACTAAGTAATCAGGTTTTCAGATGTACAGTAAGTCAATGTAAAAAAAACTGCTTGACAGTGTCATTATATACATTGATTCCAACTAAATTAAACACAAACCCTTCCTCATTTGACACTTTTCATCCCAAATAATAATTGTGAAAGTTATTGTTTTCCTGTGTTTTTTGGTTTCTTTAAACTTCACCGAAGCAAACATACTGTAACAACGACGTACCTAGTAATGACGTCATTCTACCTGTACGTAATATCAATAAACTGGTAATTAAATTGTTATGTAAATGCAAATTACATTTTCTGAAGCACGGCTAGGTTAAACACAACATTATACCATGAAATCTGAGCCCTCAACCTACAAAATTCACACAAGGTAGAGACAGCTGTACAGTACAGTATATGTGCCTTATAAATCCATTGATTGATTGATTGATTGATTTTATTGACTGATGATAGACTGAAAATTTACTGATTTTCATAGGGTCTTGTTCTATATTCCTATAGTTAAAACCAGGGAACAGTTAAAACTTTCTACATCACCCTCACTAGTACCACACTACAGCCCTGGTTCGATTTTCAGTATTGTTGAGTTTATTTTTCATGATTTTTTTTTTTACTTTATATTTTTTTATAATTTAGTTTTTCATAATTTCAAACTTAGTTCTCAAAGTAAAGAGTTAAAGTTCTACGTTTCTTCTTTTAGTTTATTACAAACAACCATTAGAAAGTCTAGTTATTACTGTAACTTAGTCTACTCTGCTGATGTATCATCTTAATACCCAAATTTCATGAAAAGCCTGGTTTATTTTACAGACAGACATAGCAAGTACTGTAAATTGAGTCAATTCTGCAATGCATCATCTTATCTCCTAAATTTCATACAGTAACTGAATAAAATTGGTGTTAAACTATAGTCTGATACTTTGATCTCTTCATTTATTTTTCTGAATCTACTTGCAACAGGCAATATCATCTTTACTGACATATATAAATTTGAATAACTGATGTTATGATCAAGTGTAGTTCATATGCAAAATTTACCTCTACTGAATTTCATTAAGCATCAATACACTTGAGGCTATGTCATTGAAGGCCTTCATTTCTTTAATACTTATTCTAATATCATTAAATTGATAATATCATGAAGTGATGATATTGCCAAGGTAATTGAAGACAAGTAGCATAGTTACACAAAGGCCCATAGATGCAGAGCGAAGATGTTAATGATATGACCAAGCTAATGAGAAACATGATAACAGAAACCGATCAACTCAGATCACAATTTAAGATAGAACAATTCAAGTACATGACATTGTGAACAAAAAATTGGCTTAGTAAATTGAAGTGTTGCTTATTACAGTAAATGAATACTGTATAAAGTAAATGAGCACTTGAAAAACTGACTTAGGTACAGTATTTTAATATTATTAATTTTTTCCAGGTCATTGTAATTTGTTTTTCACAACTATTTTATTTTATTGAAGACAATTGTAGGAATGATTTTTGCCCTATTCGATGTGTTATCATACTGATTGCTCAGTACGTACCCTAATACTTGCGAAAAAAATCTCACAATTGATTTGGGTGGGAATCAAACCCACGACATTCAGATAACTGCCCTAGTGTCTAACCACTAGACTACTGAGCTTGCGCTTAGTGAATAAGTGTTAAATCCGATCCCCAAGTGGCAGTGGGTACTGCAATGCTATTTTCATGGTTTCTTTTTATATTCTTATTAAATCTCCTGATGCAAAAAAAAAAAAAACAGCAAAGGAAACTATTGAATGATAATACTGTACATGAAAATGTTAGCTAAAATTGAAGAGAGGCACACCACCCCCATCAGGGAAGAAGTCATTGTTCGTTAAACATTACAAATGACACTGTGCTTTTGTGCATCAAGATACTTTGCTCCAATTGAAGGAATGTTAAAGCTATAATATGCACAAAAAAGAACATACAGGAGAATACATGTTGTCTCCTGGCATACAGTACACAACCATGTAGTAGTGTTGCACTGCGGTCTGCAGGTCCTAACCCAAATTTCCTTGTAAAATTTCAGCAGGAACTACCACTGAACTAGTGACGACAAAAATTCAGACCTATACTACTAGTATAAACTAATGCAGCATGTTTAAAGATAAATCTATTCCAGTCACTGACGGATATAAACTCAGGCAAAATTTTAATGGAACACTGCCATCTTTAATCATCCTTCTGCTAAACAAGATAGTTTATGTATTGATTTGTGGTTTGTTTACTCTACACTGATAAAATCAATGGACTCAGACTGATCTCATCAAGTCCAGACATGTAGCACCTGACCACTGCACTGTATACATGCATTATATGGCGCCACAGGCTACAATGACGGCAATGGTAATGATAATAAAAATTAAAGATAATGAACATGTCTGGAGGATTGTTACTGTCTATGGCTCATTAGGAAGATTACAAGACAATACATGTATCAGAGTAGCACCAGTGGTGGATCTTGAATTTAAGAATGGAGGGAGGGGGGGTGGCTGTGTATATGCAAACAGCTTGTTTAGATATAAAGGGGTGGGGGCTGGAAGTTCTCTCATTTTAGGATGCTGATTTGAAGACCTAGGCATATTTTTTAAGGGACCTGCTTACCCTACTCAATCCCCATCCCTTGGATCAACCCATGAGGACAAGGAAGACCCTTTTCTACTGCAGTGGAGTGCAACAGCTGGATAGACAGCTCAATATTTGTGTTGATATTATATATGCCTGACAACATACTGTACATTAAAAAAAACACACAAATGATTCATCAGTGGATGTATCGATGGAAATCATTCCATTTGACCTTGAATTTTGCAAGTAGATTTTTAGTTTTACATAAATTGAAAACAATGATTAGGCTAAAAGGGAGATGACGGAAGTACTACAAGGCAATCTTCAGCTGCTTACTGTAAAGAAATCAATATTGCAACAATGTTTAAGAGATTATTCATTACTTGCTATACCACCTGACCCAAATACTTCCAATTTCTCATGGAACACGTTTCATTTGATCTGAATCCTGTAAATGGATTGATCGCTATTGTTTTGCTGATACTCCAAAATGTCAGACATGTGTATTTTACCTAAACAATAATCAGTGCCAACATTCAATCAATTGTATTAATTTTCATTGTCCAAACACCATGATTAAAACAGACATTGCAAGCTTAGCTTTTAAAATATTATCTTATTGCCAGTTGCTATTGTTTTGTATACTGACATACCTTTTAGGTTTTTGTTAATTTTTAATAGTCTCTCTTCAAATAACAACAACCTTTGGGACTGGGATTTCCAAGGTCTTTAGCAGCTTGGTGTCAAATTAGAATAATAAAGACATTATTTTGTTAATTTAGGGACCATAAAAAAGGGGTCTTTAAATGGAGGTGGTCTTTCATTGGTTGGAGCATGGAGGTATAAAAAAGGAGATATAACCAACCTAAGTGGATTTGCTAGGCTAAGGCCTAATGACCTTTCCTCAATGCTGATTGGCTCATTACTAAGAGGTTCAAAAAGCCCGCTATCTCGTTACCACAGCGGGACGTCCGCTTTCATCCGTATCATCGCAGCCGTTTGCTCAGTAAATTTGTAACCTTATTGCATGGCCAATTAGCAATGTAGTCGCCCTGAACATGTATTTTTAACCATTTTTCGTGTATATCAGCCTCTAGAGGGCTTCAAAAGTTCAAAGGTTCATCTTAATCAAAAGCGTATTTTATTTTGGAAGCGATCGTTGATAGATCAAAGGGAGTAGTTTGGTTATATCTCCTTTTTTATACCTCAATGTTTGGAGGGGTCTTGAATTAGAGGGAGACCTTGTTCGCACACCTAAAATTATGCCAACTTTCAGCGTTTTAGCCAAGAACGGTATTTTCTAATTAAACCAATTCATCAATAAGAAAACCATTTCTACTGTATTCCATAAACATCTAACAAGCTACCATTGTATTTATATGAGAGAATTCAATTCATTCTGTAACAACTGATACGGCATTTTGTATGTACTAGTGGCAGTTTTGTATAATGTTCTTTATGGTCATATGTAAATTTTTGTTAATGTCATGAAAAAAGGTTTCATCTAGCCTAGTCCATTACTGCTGCGCTAACTCGATGATTGACCATAAAAGTTGAACAATTCTTAGACTATTTTTACATGACTGCACACTGCACTAGTCTAGCGTCAGACAACACATGCGAATATGTCAATGAAGGGTATTCTTGTATATCCAAATTATCTGAAACCCATTAAAATATTTTTAACATTTAATTTTGTGAAATTTATAATTAATATAAATTAACTTTACCAAATAATAAATGGTCTTTGGTAACTTTCACCTGACAGCTATAGAACATTGCACAACCTTCTGTCTTGCAAACATTTAACAGCAGCTATGAGTAGGTGTAGAAATTCCCATAAAGTCTCAAATTTTTAAAAGCTCTAGAGACAAATATGCAATTTGCTTTTTCAGAATTCAATGAATAAGACATAATGGCAGTCATTTTACATGATCCTGGCAACTTTCTCTGATGCCAAATCACTTAAATGAGGGCTATACGTTCAAACAATCTCTGAAATTAAAAGATCACAACACTTTACACATGAAAATGAAGGGACATTACACTAATAGGCAGACACAAAATGCAGACAAGGATGTCAACAGATGTCAAGAAAACAAGGTCAAATTCAGAGGAAATTCCTAAAATCTAAATTCACCAACACTTTAAAAATCAAATCAAAAAAAGAAGAAATAACTTACGTAATAACACGGGATACAAAAAGTTGAGTTCTGTTTCGACGGACACAATGGTTATCTTCAAACTCCACTTGAAGCTTATGACTACCAATAGACAAAAAAGAAGAAAAAATAGGAACTTGATCATAACTCATGTGAGTCAAAAGGAAATTTGAAGCAGGGAGCATCTCAACATACTACTGCCAACTGGAACGTCACAATTATCAACATCATCATTCATTTACATAATTTCTATACGGTTTACTGTTTTGTCCAACTATGCTGAAACTTCAAAAATGTGGAATGAATTTATATGAATCAGCTGATCAGGTATGACACACAGGTATGATGAATTTACATACTGCAATATTAAATCTATTCATGAATTATCTGGCTTGCTGTTTCTGGGTTTTCTCATACTGTATAAACATTATTATATATTAAAATGAATTTTTTTTAAATAAATAAAAGTAGTACGTATATTTTTTACTTGGGTTTTAAATTAGGAATTTTTGTTTTTCAAAATTGTTTATTTACATAGTACCCTGCCATACAATAATCTGACAATGCTGAATAGTACAGGCAGTGTATAGTGCAGTTTTTCCTGCGCAGGCTTCATAGCTACATCGTAGCCTGATAAACAATCCAAGTCAGGTTACGAAGCCAGGTTACGAAACGAGCCGACGAAGGGCAAGTGTGTTGTTCATTTATATTTGCAGAAGACTGCTGTAGGCATCTATAGGCGTATAATCTCAAGCAAGCATAAATTAGTTTACAATGGAGGTACTGTATGGCTGCAGCCTAAAGTTGGACCTGAACAAAAATTCTTGATGGAAGCATTGTTACTATGATTTATGATAGTAAGTCTATTTTTACTATGACCTGGTAATGAATGTGATAGTGATGATGTGATGTTGCTGATGATCACGATAATACAACGATCAAGATGATAATAATGATTATTGTTGATGATGTTCATGATGGTGATGATGATGATGATGAAAAGAAAGATTGGGATCATAAAGGGAGATGATGATAATGATGATGATGATGGTAGTGAAGATGAAAATAATGACCATGATACTAAAGATCATGATGGTGATGATGCTGATAATGTAAGCATATCATTATTAGCATTATTATGAATAATTGAATAATTAAAATCATGTTAAAAGCAGCTCCAGAGGAAAAAAAAAATTTATGATATGTTGTAGAACCACCCTTTTGTACATCTTTTCCACTAATACTGTAGGCCTATAGTTGAAAACACTCATCGTATTTGTCTACAGTACATACTGTACAACACCATATTATCCATAATACTAAAATAAATCTCACTTTTCAATCAGTAATTCCCCTTCTTCTACCTGTTGTTGTATCTTCTTCATACGCATGGCTTCCTCCTATCAAAAATCATAAAGAACAATCATTCATGCCAAAGAAAAAATGATATACATTAAAAATATTAATATCATACTTCAAATACAGGCCATGTAGAGAATGTTGGTTGGCGCTGGTCACCTGTCAGATTTTTTTTTTTAACTCATTATTTATTCTCGTGGTTGCTGTATATTATTATATAGCATGTGAACAGTAAAGCTCTGGAATGCAGCCATTAATGGCATATCATTGCAATAATGACGCATTTAAAACGCCTGTCCAACTCGAACCAAAAATGTATAATTAAAACATTAAGGCCTAAATATCTTAAATTACATGAACTGATGTTATCATGTTACCGATTTTCAATTTACATTTTAAAAAGCCAATAATTTACATTTAGATTGTTAATACGAGTTGTGTTGACGTTTGAGGTTTAATGTGTTGCACTGTAGAATTATAATTAGATGCAAGACAGTGAGGCAGACGTGTTCGGAATACAGAGAAATAATCAATACTAAGAGATTGCAACAACCTTACACTAAGATTCAACACATACAGAAAGTCTACCTCACTGCCCACTACTACTAGAAATACACACCCTATGAATCTTGGCACACCGCCAATACATTTCTAAATATGGTCACAATAAACTTCACCATTCATAAATATATCTTGCATCAATTTACATAATGGAGTTAAAACTGATGTATTTCAAAAAAACTGCTTACTCCACCATGATGTCTTACTACAGTGTACTATGAACATCTCTAAAATTATATACTGTACTTTGCCTAGATTTAAATAATATAAATTTCATACATAAAAAATAATTAGGCCTGTTAATATTATAATAAATTAGAATGTACTATCATTTATTTAATTATCATCAACTTGAACTTATTAATATTAATTACTATTGAAATCAAAATAAATTCTGTAGAGGATGATCCTCAAATAGACATGTACAAATTTATTAAATTATTTGTTGATCCATATTATTTTATTTTATCGTTATTTTTAAACTGCTACTTTTAGCTTTCAGAACCTGTCTCTAACTGTTCACATTAGTCATTAAAATGTCCAACCTTTTAACAAATGTACAGTATAAATTACAGGCCTACTTTATACTGTACAGTATTGGCCTATTATAAATTCCAATGACTTGATTTTGAAACCTTATAATAAAAATGTGTCTTGTACTGTACTAAATAAATGGGAATGTCTTAATTTGGATAAAATGCATGTCTCTTCAACAAGTTTCAAAAACACCATGTATTTATGAATTTTTCTCTTGAATAAATTTAAGGTGAAATTAACTTACAATCATTAAAATGTCAGTTTGTTACTGGAATTTTCATCATGTAACTATTAAAATTTAAACTATTATCATCACTGTCAGAATTTTAACCTTCACAAACTTTATACTCATAGTTAAAATACATCTGATATTTGTCTTACTAAAATCTCACATTCTTATCAACTGTTATAAGAATTTTTTATGCATCTACCCATGATAATTGATTTATGAAAACCCTCTTGTACAGTTGTAAAATAAACTGTTTTAAGGGGCAGGTAGCATCGTTAAGCAATCATTTGACAGACACATCAACAAGCAGATATAAACAAAACAAGATGGTGGTGATATGCTCTCACCTGATTAAATTTATCTATGAGTGCCTGCACGTACTTCTTGCGTCCGATGTAGCCCCTGTAGTGACATTGTATGCATACAGCTGCCAAAACTTCTTTGCTAAGGCTGGCATCATTTTCAGCTTTCTGTAGAAATAGAAAACAACTTCAAATTAGCTAGTATTTTTTTTTAAAGCAGAATGCATGTGATGTTAACCGCCCAATATATAAAATGCTTTTAAAAAAGTTGTGATAAAGAAATAGGCAGCAAAATAGGCCAGTACTAACAATTTCAGTCACCCTTTTTGTCGACAATGGCCTACCATATGTTTAAATAACGTCTGTTAAAATTTTCAACAACAAACTGTGTTTAAACCGAGGTATTTAAATATTCTTCTATACATTACCAATAAAGAGGATGGTTCTGATGTTTAATTAACGTTTTTGTCTATACAATATATGAATGGACAATAAAGAATTACGACTTATTTATATGACGTATGTAAAAACATGTAAAGTTTCATTATACTACTATCATCATACAAAAATATTTGTGGGTGTATTAATTAAGTCAATACAATATGATGGTAAGTCAAAAAGTTCACTTTTGCTTTGACAATACAGTACATTTTCATTTTAATGGAACTTCCATTAGAATTGACATTTAATAGATTATAAAAAAAATGTAAGCATACTATTTTATACCCCAACAAAAAAAAACATATCATTATTCAAGCATATTATGTATTGCTTAATATAACATTAAATTTAGTGGTTATTAAATGTCTATTTTACATTCTATGTTTTAGGTTTGATAAATACTCAATAGTGAATCTCCAAGGTCTTCTGTCTTAACCCCTCTGCTCAAAGGTTACATTTGAATAATTTCATCCCAGGTTCTGACTTTCTTTATATATTTCAAGTTTATTAGGCCAGTTGGAAATTTAATTTTATGTATTTATTTTTTTGCCAAGTGGTTAATATTAACAAGTCCATACAATTAAAACAATGTAGGCCTTTTTTTCAGTAACCAATGGCATATCCATAATTTTCCTTTTTGTACATATATAGTACACATGGAATTAATAATGGAACTTGTGTGTAAAGAAGTAATACTGGAGTGGAACACATTTACACATGAAATAATAACTAGAACCCATGTATACATACATTAACAACTGTTCAAAATATAATACTTGAAACTAGTTTTGAATATGCATGGAGTGAAACATAGAAGTATGTCACAGAATAAGTAGAACACCATGTAGACAGGGAAAGCTGTTATAATACATGCACACACACACATAATAGGATTAGGAATTGAACTATATTGGATTAATAAAAGAAATCAAATTAAACCTGCAAAGAAATACAAGCCTACATTTTGTCAGAATTAAATGCTTCCTATCAATTCAGCACATTGACTGAATAAAAAAGCTAAGTACTGATTTTTTATTTTCAAGAAGTAAATTCACAGTATTTATTTAAATATTTAATAATAAAATAATTGTATTAATTGCTACTAATGAGAAAAATATCATGTTTATTCAGCTATATGAAGAAGTCAAAATTCTTATTCAGTTTCACTCACCAATTACAGACAGTATTATTAAATAATTTTAAAAGAATATTTTAACATTGGTATAGACCTACTGTACTAATAAATATTCTACAAATAAGAAGAATTCTAACCTACAAAAGCAATTATACATCAGTTTCAGTGTAGTATTTATTCTCACTAGTGGAGTCAAGCCACACGTCAGACAGCCACTGTATGTAAACTGAAGGCTAGCAGCAGATTCATTTGCTGCCTAGATCATGATTACCAATCTACTAACATCACGCACGCTTGGCTCGGCTTTTCAATATTGATGTGTGCTATAAGTGTACAGTTGCGTCAGCTTCTAATAATAATACATTACGAGTATCGGTTTCATTACTGCATGGATTTCACGGAAGGACAGAAATGGTGGTAGTGTATTTCACTGCACTCACAACCACAATGTGAAACAAATTTCTAACACAAATATAAAGTCACACTCATATAATTATTATTTAATTAATTAACTTAACTTACAGTATACCAATGATGTATCAACACAATGATTGAAATGATTACAGTGAGCATACATCAATATTTTAATGAAGAACATTAACTAATTCAAAGGGCTAAGTGAAAAAAATTATGATTAAAAAAAACCCAGTTCAATTTGATTGCTCTAATTCGATGAAATTGTATGATTTTCTGGTTTGACTCATGAGGAAACTTCCCCATTTACCAAATTTTTTTTAAAATTTTTGAACCAGGTTTTGCTGATCTCTTCTTATCTCTGCTTCAGGGAATTTTGTATTTGAAGATTAACAGTGAAGTTAATTACATAATATAAAACAGTAAATAAAAAGACTAGCATAATTAAATAAAAAAAATATGTTGTAAACTTCTTTTACAAACAACAGGTTTTAAAAAATGTATTGACAAGTAACAATGCCTGGTGTGATAATGACTCTTAATTAGAGCTATTCTTCTTTGATGTTTAATTGGATTATTGAGATGAATCTGGCAAAACCTGGTTTACCAACCTGCCGAAATGCCCTTTTAAAGGGTTTGCTGGTAATTGGGATAGTAACAGCATGCTCAGATAGAATGTAGGTAAGAATGGCCCCGGAAAAAATGGCCCAGGAAAAAATGGCCCCGGAAAAAATGGCCCCAGTAAAAATGGCCTCAAATGACAAATAGGTAAAAATGGCCCCAATGAAAAAATTCAGTAATAGTAATGATATTTTTTTTTTTAATCTTCAAATATTTAAATACTGTAATAAGCAAAAATTGAATCAATAACAAATACAGTTACACAACAGATGCAAATAATGTACTGAGAGATTATCATAAAAAAACGGCCATTGAACATTTTTTGATAGTTGAAATAAGTTTTAAAAACGTTATTCCACTAACAAAATAGAGGAATGACATACATACTGTACATACAGTACTTCAACTACCAAAATATGCAACTCATAGATAACCACAAAATTCACTTTTGTTAAGTATCAAATGAAATAACTTTACATGTTATAAAGAGTGCAAATAAACAGTAGTTAAAACATGTGTGTTTGAATGACAAGTTCATGTATGGGAAAAGGGAGGCTAACTTTACTTCAACAAATGTTCTGCTTAGAGGCTGTTCTATTTTCTCTATGCTTAGAGTTACTTCAAAGAAGTGTTTGTTAATCAAATATTATTTTTAAAGTAAACCGAATAATTAGGAATACATTTATTTAAGCAGCTTATTCAATTGCATACTTGGTTTCTACTCCCCGCCAAGTAAATTTAAGTGCCTAAAACTATACTAAATAATGTAAACTGAGATACAGTACTATATTATATACATAGTTATGTAAATATGGCAATTATGCTAAGAATTAAAATGGCGTGTAATTGTGAGGGTAAAGTAATTATGGTAGGATCAAATGGTATTGCTAAATCCCGAAAACCTCCTAAAACACACTGTAGAAAACCAACAATTCAATTGTGATTGACTCACTTGGTATATCAATAAGAAAATTAAATATTTATAAGAACCTATTTTTTGGTTAAAATGTTGATTTTTTTGGTGAAAGAATACTTGCAAATACACCACAATCCTCCAAACACACTGCGAATCCCATCCAAACCCTTTAATTACTATTGTAGAACTCTCTTTTTCTAAAAAAAAATAAAAATAATAATTTGATGTTCATATAAACTCATTGTTTGTGGAGTTTATCAATACCCGGATTGAATTTCTGGAAAATTGTGATTCCGCTTCCTTGAAATTGACCACAAATAAATTATTTTAGTATTAATAAATGCATGATTTATGTTGATTTATTGATTATGTTGTTGCTATTTTTTAACATTTAAATGGAAAAAAAATAAAAAGTGTTATTCATGGCTTTTTTTTTATCTTTGAATATTTTATCGTTGAATATGTAATTTCTGCAAAAAGTAAAATGTAAATGGCAATTTATTTGTTAGATTCCTTTTAAAAACTAAATTATTTCAGTTTAAAAAAATGCATATAATGATTTTTTAAAAATCAGTTTTAATACAGAATTTTATTATTGGGGCCATTTTTACCTACCTGTCACTTGGGGCCATTTTTACCGGGGCCATTTTTCCCAGGCCATTTTTTCCTGGGCCATTTTTTCCTGGGCCATTTTTTCCGGGGCCATTCTTACCGTACACCGCTCAGATAAAATACCTTCCCTGTGCTGCTACAATCTTAATGAATCAGTCAGAACTCCTGTCTATAGTTGATATTTGTAGTAACACAATTATTTATACAGGTTCAATGGTCAGAGGAATTTTTATAATCAGGGCAGATTTATTGGAAAGTTGTTCTGGGGTAGGGGGAGGGGAAGATTTTGCCACTACATTTAAACAAAATTTCAAATACATAACAATGCCATGTATTGAAATAATGAAACAAAATAGAATACAGTACAATAGAAAATGTTTCAGTAGGGAATGTGGAACTTTCTTTATGCTGAATTTAGTACCCCCTCCCCCGTAAAAAAAACAATTGGGATCTTCCCCTGTTAATTTTATTTTTTATGTTTTGTATTTTTCGTTGTTATGTACTTAAATATGCTGGTGGTTCTGATTCAGCACTTCACTGGTAATGCACACAAGATTATATCTTAATAATGCAGCCCCTGTTGTGGACAAAGGAGAGTAGTTGTTACCGGTACACCGGGTAGCTAAGACACGAAGGGACCCTTAGTGGAGATGAAAGTTACTGGTGAGCTGCTGTAGTCCACGCTTTGAATGCTTTGATCTTCATGAAATATCGCTACCTGTATAAATGATGTTATGTATGTACAGTATGTATAATTATTGTGATAATTAACAAATTATTATAAGGCAATTTAAATACTCTGCACGCTTGAGAGTGAAGTGAAAGGGTAATGGAAGATGCCAGCGTAAAAAACAGCATGCAAGTGGCAAGGAATTATTAAAATGCTGGAAAGAATACTAAAAATATTCTAAAGCTTTAATAATTTATCAACCAATAGGGCCAACGTAAAATGAATCATTAGTAAGAGAGTGCTAAATACACAATTGTTATCTATTATCTTTACTCCATCCTGTTAGCATGGAGGA